ATAAGGAGGATAATAGCCTTTTTGCCCTTACACTGGATTGTGAAGCTTAACTCATAAAGAGCCTTATCCAAAGCCATTAAAGCCAATAGAAATCTCTCATTGACTTTAATGAGCTTTTGTTCAGGTCTTTTACAAGACAGCTGAAAGACTGCCATTGACTTCAAGCCCTAATTTTATAGAGCTCTTTCATATCCTCTGTTTGGCAGCATTTGGAAACATAGAAATGTAGTAATAAGAGTATTATATTTACCAAACAAATCCTCATAAGATAAGATTGAACTGAGAGTGCTATTCAAATGCGTGTGTATATACACATTCCTGTATATCCAGAAATGAATATATATCAGTTATTGCATGCACTTATTAATAACTGTTTCTTACATGTTAGTTGCATAATCATCTCTGCACTGCTGGGTGCCAACTCTACACATTTGATTTGGACGAAGTACAGTTTATAATGGCTTTTCCCTTGATGTAGACAGAGTCAGATCCAGAATATAAATTGTCGCTTTGTTTTTATGCTGGTATTATCCTGGCTGTGTAAACAAAGACAATAACTGATCTGGCATAAAGTCAACCATAAACTGAACCCTTCAAAATCTTTAAGAAATTTGAAGCAGCAGAGTTTTATACTTGATCGATTCTTTATAATGTGGCCTGCATTTCTAATCTAAGAAAGAAGATAACAGTAATGTTATCTTTCCTATGCTGTCAAACTACATAGCAAAAAGGGGCCCTAAAGCAGGAAAATTACCAGAATTGAAAGCAAGAAGGATAAACTTTAAAAAATGGTATCATAATTATTAATAATTATTAACCTATTGATTATTATATTCCTGTAGTATGCCAATTAAGGAATGGTAAGCTAATATTATAAAAGCTTGACTTCATTCTAATAGAATTTGAAAACAGTACAGTTTATTGAGTAGAAATCTCTGTTCTAGTCCAAGTAATTGAAATAAATTACCCACGATATGTAATTTTTAATCCCCTTAAATAATATTAAAAAAAAATGCAAGTTCTCTGAATATTTATTGGCTTTTAGTGAAAACAGCTATTTTCAGCATTATGAATGGCTGACATGACATATTTCCAAACCTGAAACACAGCAGTATCAAAGTAACAGTTTTATATAACACCTGCCATTCTGTATTCCACAAAGCCTTTTTTTTTTAAAAAAGACAACATACAAAAACAATACACTACTTAATTTAGTCGAATACTCTGGAAAGGTAAGTAATATTTAAGTTTTAATCATATAGACAATTGACAGCATTTCTAATTCTACCCACAGATGTTCCATTATTTTTGTAATATCAGTTAAGGTATTAATTTTCTTTAAAGAGACAACTAAGCAGACAGGAAATACTAAACCTTTACAAAATTTAGTTAAAGCATTTTCATTTTATTTACACACTTCAGGAAAACATCTGTGGGAGAACAAGGGTGTTTTAACAGGATTGTGGAAGAAGCAGAGGCCAGAAGAAGAAGCAGGAACAATGGCAGAAGATGGCCCATAAGCATCTCCAGACCTGTAAACAATGCCTGGCGCCCCTGACTTTTCATTATCAAAAAGAGGTAGATTAGGTTCTGGGTCTGGGTCTGTTGGCCCAGGATGGAAGGAGTCTCGACAGACTCTCCTCTGCACCGCAGGTGTTGTTTTTGGGTGGCAGTGGCGGGGCAGAAGGACTCGTTAGGCTCTCCTTAGAGGTCTTTTCTGTCTCTTTGCGGAGCTCCGCTAGGGCTTCAGATACCACCCGCCACACTACGAAGTGTTGAGCTGCAGCTTTATCTGTCCCTGCTCCAGCGTCCCAAAGCTTTTCACCAATTTGCTCCCACATCTCTTTGCCAAGGGTGCCGGTCTCTGGATAGCCCGGAACATTTTTTCGTACCCAGTCTAAGAAGGTTATTAAGGACAGGGCAGGTACAGATCGTTTTTGAGCTTTTAAAATACACTGTAATACTTCTAGATCCCTTTGCTGCTCTGTGGGCACTGTGCTTCCCTGCTCCTTTTTTAGCAGAGTGGTCCCCATGGTTCCCCATCGCTCACCTCTGTCCTGCAGAAGGTGATGGGCCGGCGGTGAAGAAATCCTGGAGACAATCCCTGGTTCCATCGGGCTGCGCTACCGCTCCGGACGGCTTTAGGCTCCTGATTAATGCCCAACATTGGGTGCCATTTGTAGTGTATGAAGGCACGGACCCCGGTCGGTGATACAACCAGAATCCTTTATTATGACCAACAGGCAGCTTATATAGTACCAGTGGATCTTCTTTCCCAACCCACACACCCCTGCAACCCCCAACTGCCAGGCGGGCAGAATTCCCCTCCATCACTCAGGGGGCCAGGCATTGTTTACAGGTCTGGAGATGCTCATGGGCCATCTTCTGCCATTGTTCCTGCTTCTTCTTCTGGCCTCTGCTTCTTCCACAATCCTGTTAACCCCTTGTTCTCCCACAAACATCTATGCCTTAACATTCCAATTTCAGCCCTATAAAAACCATGCAATAGCAAGAGATAATATAATTTATTTTATAACATTTTTATGAACTAAGTAAAGATAATTTACTCTGCCAAGGTTTTACATTTTAGAAATTCATATCTCTCCAAAGGTGCATCCAATTTAGAACTTGATTGGTATTGGGGTTTTTGCTTTATCAACCTTACGCATTAGGCCATCACACATATTGTTATTTTCCAAGAGAAAAAATGATTCTAACATCTGTTCTCAATCTGCTTTTCCTTCATTTCCTTTTATATCCCATGTAACTCCCCATGTAACTCACTAAATTCATCTACAAAACATTACTGTGTTTGACTGTCTACACTATATAAGCCTTTCTGCTATAAGATTGCATGAAAATTGAAAAAAACTGTAGCCTACAACATAATCCACTTTAATAATACACGTTAATATTCCACAACATAATCTACCGTTTTTACTGAATCTTTTGATCCAAGAAAATATATCTGGTTTTGCAAGTCAGCATTGTGACACATAACATTTAACCTAATTTCTTAAGTGACCTATATTCTAACAAAATGAGCAAAATGGGTTCATGTCTTACTATTGTGCAGTCTCTTCCTTATGACTGCTGTAGTCTTATGAAACAAAAAGTGTTTAAGTTAAGAACATACCTCCAGAATGGTTTGAAGAGAGTAATTTTAACATTTTAATTCACTTGTGCAAGTGATCTCAAGAGTACAGCAGACAGAGGGACAAATTATTCTTAAATTAGTTTCCAGCTCTGTGATGTCTTCTGCCCCCTTTTGTCTGTATTCAACAATTGCTACTCTAATTTAATTTCAGAGGAAAACACCTATTCACACTTGACCTGCCCATAACATAATCATCAACACAACACAAAAGTCATTCTTCCTGCAGAACCGGGAATTCACTGTCAAGAACTGTCTAACTAGCTCCCAAAAGGTGCCATTTCTGGGAGAAAAGTGACATACTATCTGATGTTAGCAGCTGACAACTATTGTGAGATCAAAGCCTAGTGAAGGTGATTTTCTAATATTTATAAACATCAGTGAATTGAGTGAAAAATTAAAGGTATTTAGATTTACCCCAACACACTATTTTGTATGAAAGCTGCATGATGCCAACCTTGAGGATGTTACATTCTATTAATTTCTGTGTGAGCTGCTGTAAATCTGAAACCAATGTCCAACAGCTAAAGTTTCCTTATGCTCTGAGTCTACTTTAGCAGTATATTTGTAAGCAAGAAGAAGAATAGAGGCTTTATGACTAAGACTTATCTTGGGAACAGAGACCGAGAGAGACAAGGAAAAGCCTTCTAAGAGACAAAAGAAATACCTGCACAGGATAGACTGAATTAAATCCTGCTGCAAAGAACCTCTAAAACTAGATGTCAGGAATCTTAGAAGATAGTAGCAGGAAAATAGTAATGAAAAATCACAAAAAATACAACCACAAAATGGTGAAACAAAGCAAAAGAGGCGCAATGACATCACATACTCTGAACCAGACTGTAGGCCTTTTTTGCGTTTTTTCCTGAGAACAAATTATTTCAAGTTAATAATTGGGTTAAAATTGAAGTCAGACAAACTCATAAGGTCCTTGCTGTCATTGACTCAATTAGAGTCAGTGGGGCAACTTCTATGTGAAATAGCTATGAAATGCACAAGGGCAGAGAAATCTAGCCTTGACAACTTCCCTGTGACAACCAGTGGGGTTTTTTTATAATTTTAGAAGAGTATTCTCTCTTAAAGACTCATGTCAAAAAACTGTACATGGAATAGAGCAAAAAGGATTTGTACTTCCACAGCAGGATGCACAGTTTATGCAATTATTTTCTGCATGCTAGATTAAGTTAAAACAAGAACAGGAACCCACGCAAAGTGTAACAAAACCAAAACCAAGCTGAAACTGGAGTGCAGAGAATGTGTTTACTGTCTTCCTGATGAACAGATGCACACTTTTACCAGTCAAGAAATAAACATTTCAGGTTAGGTTTTGCCATTATTCAGTGTAAGAATGACCATATATAAAGAAAACGTAAATATTTATTTATTGAAAAGCTTTGAAATATCCCTACTGTCCTCCACAGACCAATTTAATAGTCAACACTTACAAAGTACAACTGTGGCTTCCAAATTCTTTATCCCAGCACTGGCTCTAATGCAAGACTGAGCTCCTGGGAGGGAACCATTCCAAATTACATCAGCTGGCAACACGTCTTCAGGGAGCATCTGTCATCTACAGGGAGCTGGCTCACCCTCTGGCTACTCCTCCAGTACATCCCTCCAAATTTAAAATATCCACCACTTCTCCATCCATGTCGGGGAATTAAAAGGATTCTTTTTACAATAGTTAAGAGCAAACTCAATCTCTGCTGACCAAGACATTTTATAAAATCTAATAATTCTCACAAAAACAACAAAAATACAAGCACAGTCAATTCACAAATGACTCAGGATACACACGCTGCTTTTCAGTTGCAAAGTGTAAATGATACACAGTAAATTGACTTACCGGGCCAAAAGCATTGCTGTCAAAGCTGTGTCCATGGTGGTCACCTTCCACCCAAATATGGCCATGTGGAACTTTCACATACTTCTTTTTGTATCCAATGGTTCTAAAAAGAATTGCAAAAATGGCTAATCAGTTAAAAAAAAAATCTACAATATTTTGTTAGGAAAATTCATATGTTTATTGTTTTGGAATTTGACCTTGCATACCATCCAACTTGTTTAAAAAAACCTGCACTGAAGTCTTTTAGACTTCAAGAGGCTACTTAAGTGAAAATACACAACAATTCTGTATGAGTTAGTTGCCAGGGCCTGTTTATTATGTTACTATGGCACAAATATTGACAAAAGGGAACAAAAGATTTTTTAGTTAAATATAATTAAGGGATTCTTATTTCCATCTCTGTAGTGACAATTCTTTGAACCATTAGATTTTATCTTGGGTAAATGCCAGTGGACATAAATGTCGGTAAACGCAGTCACATAAACACACTGTATTGAGAATGCTTTTCTTCTGAGGTAATGTCAGGCACTCATCAAAAATAGGCTGGCATATCTGAAATGGCTTCAGATTCACAGCCTGGATTCCTGTAATGCTTATGTCCTGGCGGTAGGATTTCTTCAGCTGTAACAAGCTGAACAAGATAAACTTAAAGGAAACCTCTAAGAGAAGGCCAAGTGCTGCAAAAAATGACACTGATGATTCAACCCATTCTCTGTAGAAGTTCGTACTGAAGCAGTGACTCAGCATGCCCTGATATTTCAAAAATTACAAGCTACAGATGAGTCCTAAAGCTCAGGTGCAGAGTATGCAAAATTCCTGTATTTAGTTCACGGGTAGCTGTCATTTTCACAATTCCAGTCTGCCTTCTACCATATACTTTTGATTTCTTTCAGATGAGATCTGTTATTCTGCAGTCATTCATGCAGGGAGGTGATTCTATCATGAACAACAAATTACTACCATGATGAAGAATTTACAGATGAGACTACAGATAGTGATACCTCTTATTTTGTTTTGGATAACCAAGTCTGGCAATAGACAAAAAGAGACTTTTGATCTAGCTTGTTGCCTCCAGCTGCTCATCACTTTTCACTGTCTGGAAGACATGCCGCCAGAGCAGGAGGTAGAAGGAGCACACTCTAAAACTAAAGAAAATCAGCTGAAGAGAGAAAAAACACCTTCACCTGGAGATTCAGCTGAATTGTGCAACAGCACTGATAAGGGATGTTCACAAATCAAAACGGGAAAACTGGTTTTGGTGAGGTTTGTTTAGATTGAGGGGTGTGTGGATGTGAGGCTGTTATAAGGACAAGCTAATTAATAATCTGGAGACCATGAAATATTAGATGAATAAGGAATCCTCAAAAGCGCATTTTATTAATTTTACTTTTTTGGTCAAATAAAAAGAATAATTATTTATTTGCAAGTCACAAAATCCAATCAGTGCTTTTTCAAGTAGCTTCAGAGGCAGCTGAAAAGATGAGGGTGCAAGAAGTATATTCTAGTGAAAGTTCTACCTGTGCTTTCATTGGAAGCTGAAAAAATAATAGCCTATTTGCAGACCTGATTTTAGTCTTTCCCAGTTTCATATTACACAATATTCAAGATTGACTTCCTAAATTATTCAAAACAAAAATGTAAAACTGTCCTGAATTCTTAAACAGAAGAGTAGTTCTGTAATAATTTAATTACATTAAATGAGCAATTTATTACTATGCAATTCCTTCCCCCTTTTTCTTATTTTTAAGAAATATGGCATAGTATGGACAATAAAATTATTTATATTTTGAGATTCCATAATGCTTTGTCTCACTGATATTTTCTTTTACAAAGCACCATATAAGACTACATTTTACGATAAACATGTTTTAAGATATAGGTTCAGAGAAGTTGGCCATTAATTCTATTCTGTCTGATTAGACACTCTGAAAATTATTAAATTAATATTCCATCAGTGATAAAGGCAAACAATAGCTCAAAAAATATTAATTTTCTCTTCCATTCATCTTCCTGAATATAGAAGAGTAGATTGTCATAAAGTTTTGTACCTTTACAAACTTCATGCACAAGACTGAATTTCACCCAGAAGGGTGAAAGGATTTGAAAGTTAATTCTGCTGACATGTTTACCTCATAAATGTCAGGAAAATAATACGGCAAATGCCAGTCAGTGACTTCATCTCAGACCGGACACAATCTCCTACCCCCAAATAATGTCTTCCTTTATTATCATTAGGAAATCACTAACAGGGAGGGGGAAAGGAGAGGGGGAGCAGGAAAAAAAAAAAAAAAAGCTTTTGTAATAAGTACTTGGAAACAAAAATGAAAACAATTTGATGTGCACAGACAGGTTTTGCAGTGGTTTGCAGAGACCTTGTGAAAACAGAAAGGCTTAACACAAGTGCATAGTGTGTCCTTTAAGGCCTAAAGCAAGAAGAAAAATATTATAAAGTACAATAACCAATTATCATTAGTTCTTTTTATTATTTCTACAACATAGGAAAATACATATTTCTTTCTTACTCTTGAAATAACCACCACAAACCAGAAAAAAATTGCTACAATTATGAAAAAAAAAAAAAGTCTTTTACAGTGATTAAAGCAGAATCATGCACAAATTCTCCTACTGAAAAAAGCAGATTATTGTACACAAGAAGTTTTAACTTAGAGGAAATAGAATTAAAATTGATGATGTTAATACATGAATCAAGGGAGTAGAGGAGAGAAAAAGAAATGGAAAAGAAACAGAAGCAGCAGTTCTAATTATCTGCTTTAGTAGATAGGACTGCTACTGCATGGATAAATCCCTCTGTAAACTCAGTAGATAAATGTAAAACCTTCAATCATTTCATTTATGGGGTATATAAATCATCAGATTTTTCCCACATGTAGGTCCACTAGAAAAAACATCTAGTTGTATTGTAAACAATAAATACCTGTATACCTGTGTACAAAAGAGAGACAAGAAAACCTATTTTTCTAAGACAATTCCTTCAAAATGTTAGTGCAGTGTTTACATAGGGCAGCTACTTAGGGACTTAGTATCCACTATAGGAAACCTCCTGCAAAAGCTGTCCTGTGGAATTCAGGTGAAATTTGAAGTTTTACTTGAGGTTTTCACTGCATGAATTAGTAACAAACTGCGGCAATAAGCTTATGTTACAGTAAATTGGATCATCCATTACTTAACATTGTTTTTAATTTTCAAGATAATTTCATTGTTGAATTACTCCACAACAGATCAATAAACCATACATGCAAGCAAACCAGGCCACAGGCTTCAGAAAGTTGTATTTGGTTAAAGACAGTAGGTTATTTTTAATTACTGTTGCAAAGACTGCGCTGACTTTTTTAAGAACAACAAAGCTCAAACTTGTATTTTCCTCTCCTATGAAGAAAGCACCTCTCTCATATGAATCTTGCAGAAATTAAACACTTTAATCTCTGGCCTAAATTGCAAGGGAAGACCCCGTAGGTGTGCTACACTGACAACATGGCTCTTGCTCTAAATGCATAAAGTACCGTTTATTCATTACACTAGCTAAACATTTCAGCTAGACATGGTGGAGGAAAACTATCACCTGTCTTTTTGTGCAATCCTACAAAGCCAAATCACTAACACAAATCATACAACATCATTCTGAGAAGGAGAAGTGTTGACTCAGCCCTTTGAGATAGCTTTGCAGAAAAGCTATCCACTTTTCAGATTCAGGAACATGTAATGAACAACAATTATAAGTATAATGCTCAATATTTTTGTGAAAAAACAATATACTATAAAGTGAAAAATTACTTCCAAATGCTTCTAGCATTCAACAACAACAACAAAACCTAAAATCTTCAAGCCAATTATAAATTAAAAACAAAATTTGCTTATCAGGAACTTCACATCAATTCCTTGTCAGAGGCCTTTGCTACAAAAGAAATGCAGTCAATTTTTTAAGTCAATACTACATATTTTGAAAGTAATGTAAAAATGCATTTTTCTTTCTTAGTCGAGTATTCTTAGCCTCATTTCTCAGATTTCTCCTGTAATCTTGACCTCTTTGTTAGCTCTCACACATGAAGTATTTAATTAAATTTAGAAGATGTCTGAATGAATTCTTAGGAGAAAAATTGGTGCAAGTAATAATTAATCTAGTATTTGTTAATTTAATATCCAGTTCATTAGCATGAGTTATAATTACCAAACAGTCTTTTGTATTTCAGAAAGCCTCTACTAATAAAAAGTAGTCGTTCACTTTCTGAAATCTACTATCTTTGAAAGAAAAATAAATAAAGACTATTCATAACCTCATGGCCTTCCCATTTTAAAGGTTCACTTTAGAAATAACACAAGGAAAGATATTATAATATTCAGATTTTAATGCATAGTATTCAAGCGTCTGCTAAAAACCATACTGTTGTGTGCAAAAAGATATTTCAGGTTTTACCAAAGTCTTTGGCAGGTTAGTAATAACCCCTTATGCTACTGTTGTTCACACTGTAGTTAAACTCACTGGCTTCACGGAGTCCATGAGAGTTGCAGTAATTTTCTTGATCAGAATGTAATGGAGTAACATTTATCTTTTTAACCATTTTTACAGAAATTGGTCTGGAATTCTGATATATTTTTTTTTCTTACATCTGAGGTACATTTTGAACCTTTGCAAAGGTTTATTCTCCATGATTTAATAGTTAACAGATGTACTTATATCTATCCTTGGCTGAGAAATAATTTCAATCTTGACAGTCAAAAATGAGCTCTATATGGTATTCTAACCACCTGCCCACAAGCAAGCAAAATCTGCTTTTTTAGGATGTGGTGCCAGTGCCAAAGCAAGCAAGTTGGCACAGCTAAGTTGGATGAGGAATTATTGCCTTCAGTTTGATATGACCTTGAGAAATCAGGTGGTCTCGGAAATCTGCATACCTTTGGGTGTCATCAGGGAACAGACACTGTCAATAATTTCCTCTGCTTGCACAGGAGATAATAAATACAAACTCTTTTGTAAAATAGGAAGTCTCTATCATACTTAAGAGCAACTTTTTCCAGACAAAATAAATTGCTGTACATGGAAATTTTCCACATACATCCATCTTCATCAAATTCACAGAATGAAAA